GAAGCGTTGCCGCTGCCGCCGCCGCCGCCGCCGCTGGACGCCGACTTGCGGCCGCCGGAGAGGTCGGCGTCGGCGTCACCGGGGGCGCGCTCCGAGGCGCCGCTGCCCGCCCGGTCGCCGCCGCCCGCTTTGAGCAGCGCGTCCGACGGCAGCTCCCCTGGCGGAGAGCGCGGCCCGTTGCTCAGCACCTGCCACGCCAAAGACGCATAATTTATAGTTAATTAATAATCATTTGAATAACATTAAGAGTTGACGTTTATTGAAATTATTAACAAATAAAGATGGCGACCTGGTTGGCCGAGGTGGCTCGAGCGTGTGCAGACTCAGCGCCTCGGTCTTAAGAGTCGCGGGATTGAGTCCTGCCTTGGGTATGGTTGTTTGTGCCTTTTCTTTCATGTATGTGTGTATGTGTTGTCGCGGCCTTGTGAAGCTGCTGGCCACAGACCAATGAGCCCGCAAGTCAGTGTCTAGTGTAAAGGGTAATAATTAATGTGTGCTCCCATGAGGGACAGAGTGGGTACCCGTCGCGGATAGTCGAAATGGACATCCCCTGCCCCTGGGAAAAGACCCAGGAAGAAAAAAAATAGAGTTACTAAGAATTTAAAAAAACAATTTTATTTCCATTTTCGTTATCGTTATGCGCAGAACCTCAGAGGCCCTGCACTTCCCTCTGGGCGAGTTCCTAGAAGAGGAGCTGCCACCCATCGTCGTACGTGACGCGCTTGTCGCAAACTTTCTTGGGTTCAAGGTAAAGAATATGGTCGTTTCGTTTTTGTAATACTATTTACCGGCGAATGTGTACACAAGAGGATTAATGTTTCAGGTCAGAAAACAAACAGGTTCCCCCTTCAGCTAGTTTTCTTTTATAGTATTTTCATGGGAATCTCTTTCACAATGTTCTCAGGAACACGGCGAACGCTCCTCGGATCGCAACAGTTGCGGAATTGCGGAATTTTTTTTCGACGCGGTGGGTCAAAGGGATAGAGGGGTAGAGGGGTGAGGGATGAGTAGTAAGGGGTGAGAAGGGGAGAGAGGGGCGAGGATTAAGTAGCAAAGGCGCGAGTGAGAAGTAAGGGGTGAGGGGTGAGGGCCGCAAGGGGCGAGGGGGTTTGAGGTAAGGGGATGAGAGGAAATAGGGATGAGGGGAAAGGGGTTCAAACAATGCCCGTGACATTTTCTGGGTCACGGTATTTTCTATTCACCGGAGCTATGCGATATTCCAAAACAAGGTCCACTACGAAGTACGTACCGTGCAGTCAAGAAATGAAATCAAACTGTGGAGATCTGCCGCGGTGGAAAAGTCTTTGGGGACTCCGGAACAACGTCGAGGCCCCAGGGGTGCGTTACCTGGGAGCTGTGCGCCGCCTGCAGGTGCTTGTCCAGCAGGAACTCCACGTGGAAGGCCTCCTGGCAGAGCGGGCAGCGGAACTGCTTGGAGTGCGCGGCGAGGTGCAGTTGCATCTCGAGCTCGGTGCCGAAGCTCAGCCGGCAGAAGAGGCAGCGGAAGGCCTGCGCGGGCTGCGGCGCCTGCGGGGCCGAC